TAGTGAAGGAAACCCACCTCGGCTCTGCCAGAGGCCAGGGGCAAGACTCACCAGTCCACCAGCTGGGCCCCGATGAGGTCATGCACATGGTAGGCAAGGCCGAGTCTCACCGAGGCAGGCGCCCGCCGGCCCAGGAGCTCCGACAGGAGTAGCTCCCGGTACTTGGCCTTCCGGACCATGCCAAGGACAGCCTGGCGCCCTGGAGGGGTGGACAGGAGCAGGGAGTGAGGCCTGCGGCTAGAGCAGCCACGGAAAGGTGTTCTGGAGGGCTGAGGGCTGAGCTGCAGACAGAATACCTTTAACAAAATACTTAACGAATCTCCCAGCTCCAGGTACAGCCAGCCACCAACTCCCGGCATCTCGGACGGTGAGGACTCCGGCGTTGACCAGCTGCCTAAGCGGGTGGGAAGCCAGGAGAGAGGGGAACCGGCTCTGAGAATCCTCTCCTCACCGCTAATGTTTGGAAACATGGGCAACCGGGCAAAGGGACCGGACAACAGACATCCTCCTCCCCGCCCCTGCCCAGCAGGTCTCTGGTCCCATTCGTCTACCCAGCTGCCCTCTCGCACGCTCTCTTCCTGCTACTTGTTTCCTAAAACCAGTCTTGATTCCTCCCTGACCACAAGCCCTGACGCATGCTCAGTCCCACCCGTAGGGGAGAAATAAGGGTCTTTTTCCTGTGCCCCTGCCTCACCACAGCTCCTCCCACGTCTGAGAAGCTCATAAAACGCCTTCACAGATACCATGGCGCACAGTAGGGGCCGGAGTCGGGCCAGCCCGGCACGACATTTCCCTCTCGCCGCGCCTGCTGCTGCTCTGGGATACGAGTGCTTCAGTGCCCACCACTCGCGCTCAGTCTCAGCGCGATGCACATCAGGCGTGTGTGGTCCCTGCGGGGCCTCCGGATGCACCTCACTAGCCACCCAGGGAGCCTGAACTTAAGGCCGAGGCTCCAGCTGAGATAGGCCTCTCTCTCGGGGGAAGAATACAAATTTAGATTTTACAAAAAAAAAAAAAAAAAAAGTCAACCTTTTGGGCAGGACCGGCAAAAGGAAAAGGGCCAGGCTGGGAGGAGGGAGGCAGGGAGGCGCCAGACGCCGGATGCGATTGGCCCCCCAAGTCTCACGTGATCTCTGTGTCCCTGAAGCCAAAGGTCTGCGTCATTTGGTCCTGCTGGAAGCTAAGGTCCCCACAGGCTGGCAGCACCAAAGCCAGAAACTTCTGCACGGCCCCAGCGTAGGACCGGCCATCGCAGGCCTTGAGGACCTGGAAGCAGGGATGAGAGGCTGGGGGACGTTTCTCGGCACGTGGGAGGCAGACCCCCTCTGCCCAGTTCGTCCCACCTCTCAGACCTTTCCTCCCGCTCCTTCCTGTCCCTCCTATTATTACCAACCAGAGCCCCGTGCCCTGGGAGGTATGGAGGTGTGGAGTGGGAGAGCCGCCTGCCCCGCGCCCCGAGCCACACGCACTCTGGTCCTGTAGTCCTCGGTGAGAACAATCCCGTGGGCGTCCAGGTCAAAGCCCAGCTGGATGACTCTGATCTCCCCCTGCTCCTGAAGTTCCTTCTGTTTCCAGGAAGATGGGGGTGAAAAGAAGGCTATCAGGTAAGATGCTCTACCACACCCGGGGGACGCTGCCCATACCGGGGAGCTTTTCTCCAAGTAAAGGGAAAACTGTGGGAGAATCAGGGGAAGCACCAGAGTATTTTCCAATTGGATACCCAGCCTCCCACCCACCCACCTCATCTCTTATGTTAAACGATTAGTACACACTCTCTAAGACTAATCATATGCCAGACACTAAGTAAGATAAAATAGTGATTAAGACACAGACCCTGCCCAGCTGGTGTGGCTCAATGGTTGAGCATCAACCTAGGAACCAGGAGGTCACGGGTTGACACCCAGTCAGGGCACATGCTCGGGTTGCATGCTCAATCCCCAATGGGCGGGGGGCGTGCAGGAGGCAGCCAATCATTGATGCTTCTATCTCTCTCTGCTTCTCCCTTCTTCTCTGACCTTTCCTCCCGCTCCTTCCTGTCCCTCCTATTACTACCAACCAGAGCCCCGTGCCCTGGGAGGTGTGGAGGTGT